TCCGCCCCACACATACGTACGCAACCCAGGCAACGATTAGTTCTGTGAAACAAAGCAAAACCAATGTTACACCGAGTCTACACCGGACGCGAGTGGCGCGGCGCGACAAAATACTATGGAACTCATTATAATCAGTGTCTACACCATAGATATACACTCACTGGCTACTTTATTAGGTACACCTTGCAGGTTGGAACCACATCTAGATGCCTAAATGCATTGAGTTGCTGCCATGTGATTGGCTGATTAGCAATTTGTGTTACCAAGCAATTGAACAGGAGTACCTAATAAAGTGGCCGGTGAGTGTATATACATATCTATGGTCTACACTGGATGCGGCACGACACGACAAATCCCCACAAAAAACTGCTGCTGCGTTCTATTTATGACGTATTGACACAAATTTCAAATGATTTTCAACGGTCGCTTTATTGCGTCCAGTGTACTAGACAGACTTTAGCTGTTGCGGCGCAGACGGTGTTACTCACCTATCGAGAAGAAACAAAGCAACCTCGGCGTCCGATCGCAGGCCTTCCGCTCCTTGAGTTCTCTCCAGCGCTGGAAAGCTGATCCGATATTTACACGGGTCCTACTTCTTGCCTTATTGCCTTCTTTTGTTCCGCAGACGTTTTCCTCTTTTGTTTTTTATCCGCCATCTCTATCTTTCTATCCATCCTGTGCTGTGCAGTGCACTGAACGCTCTCGCCTCCACATCATGAGTAAACACGCCTCTTACTGCTGATTGGCTACAAGTTTGTTTTACTACTCGGCCCGAATCAGTTTTCTAAAACGTTTTTGAAAAATCGCTCACCCCACCTTTAAGTGATCCCACGCCCTTTGACCTATAAATATCCATGACTTTTAATTGACTTTGACTTTATTGGAATAATTTTATAGAAGTTTTGGTCCCACCTTCTTTTGGGTGTCTTTAAATACAATGTACTTGCGTTAAAAACGTTGTTGAGTACAGTGCACTTACTGTGTTCATGTTGTATTGCAAAACACTTTTGCTACTATTGAGGAGGAATAAGGTTGTGGTTAAGGTAAGGTAGGTTTTAATGTTAGCACAATGTAAAAACATGTATGGACACAGTAAGTGCATTGTATCAAAACATTTAAATGTTAGTACTAAGATGTTAAAGACACTTAATCAATTAATAATACATTAAAGTGGGTCCAAACTCTGTAGCTGATTAAATATTTTAGATCCATAAAAAAAAATGCATATTTCCAATGACTTTGTTTTTATTGTATTCATTCACTTGATTTTTAGGTCAGGAAACCACTATTTTAAATTTCTATTATCTCTATTTCTACTATCTCTTTTTCTCTAGTTCTAAATTTCTCATTTTTCTTGAGCATGGGAACCTTGAATATTACTTTATAATGAATTGATCTAGTTGCATGAAAGTCTATATTAAAGCAGCAGTACACCTGCACTAGTACAATTTAATTGAATCATGACAAGGTTAAAAGTGCTGCTAAAATCTACCTGTGAGCTGATCTTTTCTCCAGAGCTGTGGACCTCAGAGCCCCTGCGCAAGTGCGAAGGAGTCTGAGATCTTGGAGGACTGGTGAGAAAACTGATGTAAGATTTATTATAACACGCTCATCCTATAAAATTTTACATCTTGTGTGCATCTCAGTGCAGTTCATGCACTACATTAAAATGTGGTCCTGCTGACCTCTCGCATGGCAGGCTTCCTCTTGAGCTGCTCCTGCCCGACTCGTACACCTGCACTAGTACAATTTAATTGAATCATGACAAGGTTAAAAGTGCTGCTAAAATCTACCTGTGAGCTGATCTTTTCTCCAGAGCTGTGGACCTCAGAGCCCCTGCGCAAGTGCGAAGGAGTCTGAGATCTTGGAGGACTGGTGAGAAAACTGATGTAAGATTTATTATAACACGCTCATCCTATAAAATTTAACATCTTGTGTGCATCTCAGTGCAGTTCATGCACTAAATTAAAATGTGGTCCTGCTGACCTCTCGCATGGCAGGCTTCCTCTTGAGCTGCTCCTGCCCGACTCGTGCTGAGCATCCAGCAGCATCTTCTCCAGGTCTCCGCTTGGGGCAGTGCTGGCAGACTGTTCCTCCAAACCTCCTTTAGGAGTGCTGCCTCCTCCATTATTAAAATGCAGCTCCACCCAGGAACCTGCAGCAAAAGCCAGATAACATATTTAGGTCTTTAGTGTTGCATGAAGGTGGGGTTTTTTTAGCTTCTTTTGGATGTTCTTTATTATATAAATGTTTTTTTTTTTTTTTTCAAAAGCTGAATTTCATAATTCTGACATTGCTATGGCAGCAGCATTGCTATTTGTTTTATTTATATATTGAAGTATGCAAAAACTGCTCAATGTATTGCAAGCATCACATGTCTTAACCTGTTATGAATATGTTATCGAATGACATTGAAAACTGGGCTGGGCATGAGTCAGTGATCATAACACAGCGAACATGCCAGGACTCGAGACTCAACCCAGCAGTCAGAGGAAAATAAGCACAGCTCTGACTATAAATAGCTCATGATGGCAAGAAGGTTATTTATTTATTTATTTATTTATTTTTGCTTCACTCAGCATCCAATGAAATCAGGCTGTGTGTAAACCCCACCTTTCTCGAGTGATGCGGACTTCTTTCTGCGAATCGGTTCTTTCAGACGGTTCGTTTCAAAGAACCGGTTAAAATGGTTTAGTGATTCTTTGCGTCATTGCGTGGTGTCTTCCCAATGAATTTATTTTTTCCTCTTTATTTTTGTTTATGTTATATTAATAAGGGTATTTGCATTTACAAAAATCAGTACTAAAACTACTTCGTGTTGATTAAACCTCCACAATTCGTTAACATTTTCATTAAGTTTGCATTTCTGTTGGTTGGCAACATACTGCCCAATCAAATCCTTATCTCTTCTAGGGTTATGCATTAAAAAAGCGCTACAAATCTGTATATGCACTGTAAGTCGCTTTGGACAAAAGCGTCTGCTAGATGTCTTAATGTAAATGTAGTCAGAATCGGTTGTTAATTCGGCTCCTTAAGATTCGGACATGTTCAAAAGAGACGGTTCTGAATCGGATACGTTCGAAAGATTCGGTTCTCCGTTCACTGAGTCGGCAAGTTGCCGAATCGAGAACGGTTCAGTTCGATTCCTAAACGAATCATTCAAGAGATCCGGCTCTAAAGAATGATTCGTTCACAAATCGCACAACGTGTCGCTTCCATTTCTGTTACTGCAGATGACATGCGTCATTACTGTGCTTTTTTTGCCCGCACCTGTTTCTTCTTACCACATATTATGCCGTTATATATTAACAAGCCTGGTACAATTATTTAATTTTATGTGAAACCGGAATTTGATGAATGATCGTCATCTAATTTCGTACTGCTATATCTTGAGGATTAGTGCTTACTGGAGACGTGAACCGTATCCAATCTTCAACAGACGTGAAGATTCAGTCTGATTTGGTGAACTGGTTCAACCGGTTCACTAAGAAGAACCGGTTAAATTGAACGATTCGTTCGCGAACCGGTCATCACTATTCCATTTCTGTTATTGCAGATGACATGCGTCATTACTGTGCTTTTTTTGCCCGCACCTGTTTCTTCTTACCACATATTATGCCGTTATATATTAACAAGCCTGGTACAATTATTTAATTTTATGTGAAACCGGAATTTGATGAATGATCGTCATCTAATTTCGTACTGCTATATCCTAAAAAAATAATAATTTACATTGTAGTATGATGAACAGTGTGTGTATATATATATGTATAGTAATATATATTGAGTTTTATTTTTGTTTTGAAAACTAAATGTATTCACAGAGCTAAATGTATTTTCATTTTTACAAATACTGTTTATTTATTTACTTGTTGATTTGTTTGTTTATTTATTTTTATTTGAATGGCTCTTAAAAGTGTGAAATGCGCAGGAATGCAGATGACATGCGTCATTACTGTGCTTTTTTTGCCCGCACCTGTTTCTTCTTACCACATATTATGCCGTTATATATTAACAAGCCTGGTACAATTATTTAATTTGATGTGAAACCGGAATTTGATGAATGATCGTCATCTAATTTCGTACTGTTATATCCTAAAAAAATAATAATTTACATTGTAGTATGATGAATGTGGTTTTGAGTAGAAACGTGCATACAAGAACATTAACTCGAGCTGTTTTAATAGCTACATACCCTGAAGGTTTTCCTCGGACACGCTTTGTTTTTCAATCGACATTTCAGCTTCTTTTACCGACAAAACAACCCGCAGAGGATGATTCAGTCCGTCTAAATCCTTAAACAAGAGTCGACACGACACAGAAACGCAGTGTTATCCAGAGGCATGGGTCGCTCCACGCGCGAAACCTAGTGTTTGTCGATGAAAACAGTCCAGTTATATGTATTCTGCACGTCCTGTAAAGTAAACAGCATATGGATTCATGTGACAGAAGTGGATCGGGATCTTTATTCCATGAATCCACACAGCTGGCGGTGACGCAACATGCGGCTGTCCTATGGATGGAAATATAGGGAAAACAGAATGACAACAATACTGGCACAAGAGACGCCAGATTGTCTGAATCTTCCTCAGAGATGTTGCCAGATTGTCCGAATCTCCTCCGAATCCTCCTGTAGGTTAGTGACCCAACGTCGGTAACGCCAAGGTTCACCATAGACCTTGGATTATTTATAGCACTGTTTGTTGCTGTATTGAGACTGCTACTTCGTCATAAAAATTGCAGGTGGGAGCAATGTTTCGAAATCTTATTTGAAAACCGCATTTTTGCAATTCTGTTTGAAGCACTGCACCTTTAACATCAGTCATGTTATATTTTGTTCTCCCGTCTTAGCTCTCCGTCGCCATCTGTAGGGCTGGAGGATAAATCATGCACTACACTAGGATGATGATGTTGTTCTGCGGTATTATTGAAATCATGCTCAATGATGCAGTTTCTAGCTGCAACCATATGGAAGGAACAGCATGCTATGTGAATCCTGAACCACTTCCAAATAAACAAGAGCTATGTAACGAGTAGAGTACATGTATGCAGTTGGTTGTTATTTAATGCGTAGACAGGATGATGACGTGATGCTGTGGGACTGAGATGCAGTTGCAGTGCATTGACCAGCGGGCGGCCACAATAGCTGTCTTTTCCTCTGTCTCTCCCACAAGGCAACCCAGGATAGAAGCCAGGCTTCACGCATCCCGCAGAACTGCCAGATCCTAGTGTGTATGCATGTGCACCTGCCTGCGCATATGTGTGCGCATGCCACCCTCCCCTCCTCCTTTCTCCCGGCATCATCCCTCGCTCTCCATCAGGGATGGTGAGGGAGTGTTTATGGTAAGTGCGAAGAATCAAATCTCTCTTGCTTCAAAATCTCTCGTCTTACATGCAATAGCTCCCTGCCGCTCCTCCTTTTTTTAATGTTATTCCCTCCTGGTGATCCGGCGTCTGTATTGCTGAGGATCCAGCTGCCTGCGCAGACCGCAAGCAGCTCAGTTCTAAAGGGATTAAAGCATCTTCTGCATGGAATTCAGGGCATGACAACATGCATCCCTTGTCGTTTCAGTGCATGTGCTGCGAATCACACGGAATGATGGAGGACCAACAGCTCCCTGGATAAACCCTGCAGACCAAAACAACATCACAACTCAAATCATGCACTTAAGGTGAGTCTCAATCTTTATGCATTGAATTCACTTCTAGCAGGGTGGCATCAAGCGTGCGATTACCATATAACGATCCTGTTATCGGCCTGCTGGGATGTTTGTCAGAACTGTCAATGCGAGCCGGTGCAGAAGGGGAGATGTTGATCAAATGATGCTTGTAGCAGCTACAGCCTCGCTTGCGCAGGTTGGAATAACATCCACAGGCTGGTGTCTGCCCACTGGGACATTTGTTGAAATGTTCTCGGAGGGCCATCTGTGATGCAAAGAGGCTCGTTCTGCGTGACATCTATTTTTTTTCAAAAGCCTGGCAGAGAAACACAGCACAGGCTGCATAGGTTGTATTTATGATGCAAGCGAAGGATGATGAAATGTGCATCTTTTTTGAGAATGCCGTCGTCCGCCTAAGGGAATGAACTCATTGACTTCAGATGGAGTGTTTGGAAGTTTTGACATGGCAACAAAATATGAACGTACATAGGCACAGATTTATGTTTAAAGCATTGTTTGTGATGCGGATAATTGAAAGAAGGCATAGATATTGACTAGATGTCACTTTGTCTACAAACAGGTTGCATGAAATTGATGCAGTTATAATAACATGAGAAATGTGGATGTTATTTTAGCCTCTACAGTAGGTTGTTTTATATAATTGGAGAGGATGCAAATGATAGTAGCATATTTTTAAAAATAGACTAATTAATGATGATGAATATGCTTGCTTAATCTACGCTTATAATTTTGTGCTAGATCAGGAGCCTGTATACATGCTAAATATCCCATAATGTTTAAGATTCAGTGTTATTTTTGTTTCATTTATGTACTATTATAATTTTTGTAAATATTTGAATTAATTAAATTTTAATATTTTCTGTTTTCACTTCAATTTCTTGATTTTGTTATGGTTTTTTTGTGTCTTTTTAACAGTGTACATCAACTTTGTCTCAGATGTTTCTCCATGGAGGAAGTAAAAGGCAACACTGCCTCGATTGTTGACTATACAGTAAGAGTAGCCAGGAGCTCAGATCATTTGGTGTAGTTTAATTAGAAATGTTTGAATGCACATTGAGATCTTTTGAATTTTGATTTCGATCTTGACAAATTTGAGCATGGTTTGAGACATTGCGCTCTGTTCTGATACTATAGAGAAGATGAGAGATTACTGGGGCCTTTTTCTCAGGAGAAAAAATGAGAAGCAGGAGACTTTGGCTCCATTTGCTCTTCACTTAATCTCATTTCTGTCAATTGAGATGTGATTTGAGATCATTTATTGATTAAACTGGAGACAGGTAGTCTCAGAAAATTACAAAAGAGTAAGACGCCAGGTACTCATATGGAGATATTAAACACTTGAAAAAAGACAATTCCAATTAGTACATTATCTGATGTTTATAGAACAGATAAAACTCACTATTATAATGAGGGACTTTTATCATTAATAATAATTAACCAATGATCATTTAAATGAAGGAATTAACTAATCAGTGCTGGCCAACAGAGATTAGTATGGAAGCCCGTTACCACCACTGAATAAAAAAAAAGGTTATTGCGACTTTTTATCTCACAATTCTGACTTTTTTTTCACAGAATTGTGAGATATAAACTCACAATTGTGAGTTATAAAGTCAGAATTGCGAGATATAAAGTCACAATTGCGAGTTATAAAGTCACAATTGTGAGATAAAAACACGCAATTCTGACTTTTTTTCTCACAGTTCTGACTTTTTTTCTTGCAATTGTGAGTTTATTCAGAATTGCGAGATATAAACTCTATAACACGCAATTGTGAGTTATATAGAATTGCGAGATATAAATTCGCAATTGCGAGAAAAAAAGTCAGAATTGCGAGAAGAAAAAAAAGTCAGAATTGTGAGATATAAACTCGCAATTGCGAGAAAAAAGTCAGAATTGCAAGTTTTGTTCTCACAATTCTGACTTTTTTTCTCAGAATTGCGAGTTTATATCTCGCAATTCTGACTTTATTTCTCAATTCTGAGAAAAAAAAGTCAGAATTGTGAGGTTGTATCTCGCAATTCTGACTTTATATCTCGCAATTGCGAGAAAAAAAGTCAGAATTGCGAGAAGAAAAAAAAGTCAGAATTGTGAGATATAAACTCGCAATTGCGAGAAAAAAGTCAGAATTGCAAGTTTTGTTCTCACAATTCTGACTTTTTTTCTCAGAATTGCGAGTTTATATCACGTTTATATCGTGCGTTCACGACAGTATCATGACGCGAGCGTGTGGTGGCGCCGGCGCCCAGATCTGGGTCAGCGCCGCCACACGCTCGCACTGACTTTATAACTCACAATTTTGAGTTTATATCACGTTTATATCGTGCGTTCACGACAGTATCATGACGCGAGCGTGTGGCGGCGCCGGCGCCCAGATCTGGGTCAGCGCCGCCACACGCTCACGTCATGATACTGTCATGAACGCGCGTCCAAAGTGACGCAGTAGAGACAAAAATGTGGAATAAAGTCGTTATTTTTGTTTTCTTTGCGCAAAAAAGTATTCTCGTAGCTTCGTAACTTTACAGTTGAACCACTGATATCACACGGACTACTATGTCGATCATCTTGGAACTTTTCTGGACCTTGAACGTGGTAGTTACCTTGCTGTCTATGGGAGGGTCAGAGAGCCCTCAGATTTCATCAAAAATATCTTAAATTGTGTTCCGAAGATGAACGAAGGACTTACGGGTTTCGAACTAACCCTTAAAGGTGAACCTTATGTTTGTGAAACTGTTTTTGACAGGTCAGGATATGAAAGAGAAAGGTGCTGCCTATTATAAGCACAAAATTACAATTAAATTTCACATGGCAAGCAAGGCAATGAAGTTAAGAATATATTATGACCCGTTTGAGCTCCACAAAATGTTGCCACATCTTACTGCACCTCAGATAAGGGGGAACATCTCTAAAGTATTAAATTAGCTCTGTTGGTGGAAATAACTATAACACTGTTGAGACTAATACCACTATCTAGAGAGCAATGGCTACAGAAAAATATTTACACAATATTTGTTCAGAAAATATGTCATTAAAAAATTATGTGTGTGTATTCAAGGGATTTTTTTTCTCTTCATAAATTCTTTTTCATCTGGCAGAGAACAGACCCTCATTTAAAATTCAGCTCATGCGTCTCTGTTTTCTGAGCTGTGAGCTTGTGACTTGATCAATAAATAGCACTAATACCATTTTCTCTTTTAAAGTCAACATGAAACTCAGTTTGCAACCCATTTTTCTTCCATATTCCTACGCTTTTAACTAAAAGTGATAGCGCTGCACACCAGAAGGAAGCCATGAAATCAGCTGAAGGTTCATTGCAAGGGCAGAGCAACCCATGACATTTGAATAAAATATATTCTTTATTATTATTATTTTGAATAATGTGCATGGATTAATTGTTCCAGGAACGTGCAAACAGTAAATGGATCTTTTTTGATTTTATGATGACTTTAAACTATAGGAAGATACACAGTTAGAGAGATTAGAATAGAATTATAATAGAGTAGAATAGCTGTTTACTCACTAATATAAAGGTGTCATTTTTTTTATTTTTTTTTATTTGGATGAAAGTTATCATATCATAAAAGTTGTCTTGTGTTGATTTTTAGCCTGATGACCTCAAATCCTGTATGCAATCAAATATTTTGTGGCGTTTAGTAAATTTTTGTTTAGTGCAGTGCTTAAAGATGACAAAATCAGTTTTTTAGCAGAATGGATAATTAAGTGTTTTTATTCTAGAAAAAAAAAAAAAAAAAACAACAACAACAAAAAAAAATACTGCATCTCCTGTCCAAACTGTCAGCAACAGAAAAGAAAATTGCATGGGCTTTTTAATTTGTATTTCAAGCTAATTTGCTTTTAGTGAAACTATAATTGTTCTGTGTCTCTGTGAGCTTCCTAAATACTCGTTTCCTTGTGAACTGCAGGTGGGCGGAAAGATGTAGCTGAGGAACAAACAGAAACCAATCTTGACCTTTCACGAACTCTGGTCATCCCTGAAAGGGGCGTGGCCTGTGGAGTACCGCCCAACATGTCCAAGAAACCCCCCAGTGGGCGGCCCAAAGGGGAACGGCCTGATGCCATGGCAGCACTGCAGGCAGCCAATGAGGAGCTGAGGGCCAAACTCACTGAAATCCAAATAGAACTTCAGCAAGAGAAAACCAAGGTTAGAATCTAGACTAATTGTTTGTGTACCGGAATACATGCGAAAGTGTTCTGACTCCATTTCAGATGTATTATTTTGTTTCTGTATTATAGTTTGACTACATTCAGTCTGGAAATAGCTTCTCAGTTGCAATATTGCTTTTAATGTTGACCTCATTTCCTTCTGTATATTTGAAAGATTTTTTTTTCTATTTCTATTTATTATTTATATATATATATATATTAGACCCTTGTTTATTTAGTTGCAATATTGCTTTTAATGTTGACCTCATTTCCTTCTGTATATTTGAAAGATTTTTTTTTCTATTTCTATTTATTATTTATATATATATATATTAGACCCTTGTTTATTTATTTATTTATTGGAGAGTGAATTAATTGTTGATTTGAATTATTAGTTCATTATAGTTAATTATTTTTTGATCAGTCAATAATGACAGAATTTAAATTTTGGGCTGAATTATACCCCAAAATGTAAGTGTTATTAACAAGAAGTTCATCCTGATTCCATGTAAGAAGCACTTGAGAAATTCAATTCCTTTGAATTCGGTTGTAACAAACAAGTCTGATGCTCTCTCCAATAATGTTGATATCACGAACCTCTTATGTTTTATGGATCGGGCTCATTTTGTTTAAGTGGCTGCATTGCTCCATCATGTGTGTTCTGTTAGCTGCTTTATGGCTTCATTAGCACTGGGAAACAGAGTTAAATGAGGGTGAAACAAACTATAGGCATTCTGTCAAAGCAGGTTCAATGTCAGGCTAGCTTGTGACTGACAGCAGGTCAGGGGGAAATGATTTAGCTTAGTCCGTTACATCTGTGTCTTTTTGATCTCAAGGGTGAAGTTGGTCTTTAAGAGGCATGAGAGTATCCAAACCATCCATTTCATGGCCTGATGATTGACAGATGGGTGTGAACCTCTGTTCACTGTCTTATGAACACCTCATTTGATTCGATCGAGGTTGAACACAACTCACTAATGTCTCAGTTGTTCTGTTTTGACATTGAACTGAAGACATTCTCGGAGATGAAATACTAATTTACTAGGTTAAACCTGTGATCTAAGGAATTTCCTACATGGAAAAGACACAAAAGACACAATGTAATTCAGAATGCGATTAAAAATAGATTGTAAAACCATTTAAAGTCCAGCGGGGTTCACATTTTGGAAAAAGTTAATATTGTCTTTTGTCGTAGGCTTTTGAAACTTAGACTGAAAATGGCTACACTTTTTTTAATGCCAGTTCAGCCTGTAATAGAGCAAATAAACAGCTTGTTCATGTACTCTTTCATTATTTTTTGTCTCTTGCTTATAGAAAAAAAATCTGCAATCAGTATCAGAATCAGCCCATTTGCTTACAATTGGAATTGTCCATGAAAAATCATGATTGGTGCATCTGTAGTTTTTGTAGATAGCCTACTGGTTAGTTTCCTCAAACAGTCATAACTTTGACTGATTATTAACAGCAAGCCAAGAGCGAGTGAGTACACTGGTCCACTTAAACTGGTATACACATGCATTAACACACACAGTGTTAGTGTGTACCTGGTATTCCCTACGTTATGGGGTCCAAGTGTGTGTGTGTGTGTGCGCGCGTGTATGTTTGCTTGTTTGATTGTGCGTGCATGTGTGCATGTGTGTGTGTTTTGGACGACTGTGTGTGTGTGTATATATATATATATATATATGTGGCCGTTTGGACCAAAAAATTCCAGGGCTGATTTTTTTTGTCCCAGTCCAGCCCTGTCAGCAAAAACTGCACATTGGGTCTTTTACAGCTTTTATGTAGTTTTATTTTGTTTTTATCCATTTTTGTTTTTGAATTTCATTTGCAAAAAAAAAATATATATATTTTTTTTTTTGGTTTTTACAAAAAATGTATGTCAATTAAATACTTTTCTTTTGAAAGACCAAAAAATTCCAGGGCTGATTTTTTTTGTCCCAGTCCAGCCCTGTCAGCAAAAACTGCACATTGGGTCTTTTACAGCTTTTATGTACTATATTTCATTTATATTGGCTTTAAATGTGAGTAATTCAATCCAAATTTATTGTAATTAAATCAAAACGATTAATTTTATAGTTTTATTTTGTTTTTATCCATTTTTGTTTTTGAATTTCATTTGCAAAAAAAAAATATATATATTTTTTTTTTTGGTTTTTACAAAAAATGTATGTCAATTAAATACTTTTCTTTTGAAATTATTCATCAAATAATCCTGAAGAATGCTGCTTAATATCCACAAAACTATTAAGCACCATAGCTGTTTTCAAAAAAAATTCTTGTGCAGCAAATCAGCATATTAGAATGATTTCTGAAGGATCATGTGACACTGAAGCCCGGAGTAATGATGCTGAAAATTCAGCTTTGCATCACAGGAATAAATTACATTTTAAAATATATTCAAATAGAAAACAGTTATTTTAAATTGCAATAATATTTCACAATATTACTGTCCATGCTGTATTCTTGATCAAATAAATGCAGCTTTGGTGAGCATTAGAGACTTCTTTCAAAATTTTTAAAAAGTCTTACCAACCCCAAACCTTTGAATATTAGTATAGTTATTTTTAATTGAATTTCCTACTAAAATTTCTGTTTTAATATATATATAGATGTGATGCATTTGGTCACACCTCTCACCCCTATCCTGCACATAGGTGTGTTTTCGTGTCCGCTCTTTGTATGTGTGTGTACATTCTGCAGTGGCTCTCAAGATCAATACACGCATCTCAGGGTGAAAACAAATGACAGCGAGGTTCTGCAGGCAAGGACACTAGAAAGTACCGATGGCCACCAACGAGCGTTCATGCTCAGAAAGGATTCTGTACTGTACATTTAAACATCACACAGGATATTAATGTACCAACCCTTCTGCTTGACCCTTTCACAATCGTTTAAAACGGTCTTAAGGGACACCATTATTACTCTAATTAATCATCATAATGTCGGCCACAGTTATAATAATGCTACCATTAAGAAAATGTCGGACTGATTTTAATAAGTGCTATCAGACAATGTATAGCGGATAGAATAATGAGGTTCAATTATCTCACAGTGGTCTGTGTCTGTGTGTCTGTGTGTCTGTGTGTGTGTGTGTGTGTGTGTGTGAGAGAGAGAGCAGAGATCCTGCTGTGTTGTCCTTGGTTATATTCAGGACTTCTATCTGATTCTCCTTGCTGATGCAGTACGATCTTTGATTTATAAGCAAAGTGTAAATGATCTGGAATAATGTGTTTCCCTTTGAACATCCTTCAGCAGGTGAGAGAGTTTTATTTTAATATTCTGACCCTTGTACTGCAGAACTGGAAAAACACTCTAACAGGCCAATTACTGCCAGTGCCGAAAGTCAAACACACTGCTGTACCTTGTTTTCTGTAAAATTGCTTTTCTGATTGCAGGAACATGAAATGTAATGTTCAGGAACGATTCAGGCCATATTGTGGAGACGGGGAGAAAGAGAGACGGAATTGATTCATTATAATTTGTGATAAACAAAGAGTGTTTTGTGTTTCAGTGTTGAGCTCTGCGGGGAACTAAATTCAGCAGGCTAGATTTTGTTAAATAGCCAAAAGCGAATCTTGAACTCTGCCCTGCCTGTGAATGACTGATGTCTGTGAGAATCATGTTAGACTAACAGAGAGCCTGGAGAGAACAGCACACGGTTATGACTGTAAAGAAATGATTTTAAACCAATATCTCAGCCATAAATAAAAATGTCAGTATTTACTTACCCTCATGTCGTACCAAACACTTTCTTGTTTCCACAGAACACAAAATGAGACTTTCTGAGGGCTGTTTCCATGCTTTTTTCCATGTTATTGCGATGTACGAGGACTGAAGTCTTAAAGCTTCAAAATGAAAGTTCAGCAGTGATGTCCAATTTGTGAACAAATCATTATTTTGAGTCAGATCTTTTCAGTGAATCAGTTAACCTGATTCATAAAACCTCATATTATGATTCATTCATGAATCAGATTCACTTCTCAACTCACTGACTCAATTAATCATCAACAATATTTTCAGTGAATAACTCTTTTAATTATGACCTCAAAGCTTGGAATATAGCACAAAATTAGTAGTTTAGACTAGTTTTATGGTGCTTTTGTGTCTTTTTGTGAATCTTTAAAACTTCACCATTCATTTTTATTAGATAGAAAAGATGGACCAGAACAATCTTCAAAATTTCTCCTTTTGTGAGTCATATGAGTTTGAAATGACATGCAGATGAGTAAAACTAATGACATACTTTTCATTTATAGGTGAACATTGTTCTTTTAGTTTTATTTATATACAATTATAGTTTTTGTTAATATTTTGAATTAGCTTTTGTTTGTATATTTTAATTTTTCATTTTATTTTTGGTAAAAAAAAAATTATAGTAATTTATGTGCTTTTGTCATGTTTATTCGTTTTATTTATTTATTTATTTATAAACAAATTAATTTTTTACTTATGTTTTAATACTTCCATATTAGTTTTAGTGCTCTATCTTAAATGTAAGTTAGTTACCATTTCTAAGTTTTTCATCTAATATTTATATATATTTTTCTTGTATTTATTTGTATTTTTTCAGCCTTATTTAAGTGAACAAAAATGTTTTTAATAGTTTTAGTCAACGATAATAAGCCTGACTATCTCTTTAAGATGTTATAAGATGCAATTCAATTTAAGTGCCCTTATATAAACACCACACTTTACCACTGTCAAGCACAAAATGATTTTTTAGCCTTAGCATGTGATTCAGAGATGATCTGTGAGCGTACAGGCTAGTTCTCAGGCCGTCATCATGCACACCCATGAAAATGAAGATCTGGTCTTGGTGAGCGCAGTGAAAGCGCAGCACTGTGTGAGAACTGTCAGATCCGCCTCATAGATGTGCCGTCAGACTGCTGCTAGCAGCATGCATCAATACAGCTATTGTGATGGGCTTCCTTAGACTGACAGTAAGAGGGGACATAGGAGCTGTCTCTACTGTTGTTAGGCCTGAATGAACAATACTCTTCATGTATGATGGAAAGAGACGGTGCTGGTGTCTCACACGGCATGTCTCCATCTGTAAATACTCCTAGGTTTGTGCTACTGCTTGGTGGAGTGGAGCAGAAAGGAGAGGTTTGGTGGGAGTTTTGAGGCGTGGATTGCTATTATGAATGAGAAATATACTTTGCTTGACCCTATAATTTAATACCATTTTTTTCTTGTGAAGTCCACTTGTAACACTGTCCTGCATCATATTTGCTAAATGAAATCCAATACTTGTTTCTTGCTAATTTTGGGATGCTGAGTGGGGGGGTGATTGATTGATTGATCATTCATTCATTCATTCATTCATTCATTTATTCACAGGTTAGGTCTGACATGCCAACAAATAATGCTTGTCCTTTTATTATTATTGTTATTATTATTTAAAACCAGTTTTGAAAATTTCTACGAAGTACTTCTCATTGTTTTCTACCACAATGTTATTAGGTTAAAAATAAATGTATTGATTTTAGTCAATATTTAAAACGTATTATTGCTAATGTGTCACTAGTGTTACAATCTTTGCTTTACTCATATATAAATAAAATAAAATTACACAAAATATAATTTAAAAAAAAAAAGTAAAAAAGGTACTTTTTTTATTTTTATAATTAGTAAGAATAGCATGGTGTTAAGTACCTACCATAAAAATTAATTCAGACTTTTGAATACATACTTTGTAAGTCAGAAAATAACTACAATTTGAAAATGAGTCTAAATTATTTTCTGTCGTTATTGATGTTATGCCACAAATGCTGCCAATTGCGCCCTGAGCTGCTACTGAACCCTGAACATTAATTTAAGGTCACGGATGGCTGGTTCTTCACCAGAGGCTAATGGGATCTCACAGCCTCCAGCACTGCTGACTCTCACTGGACTCTAAACCTCGTCTCCGCATGTTCTCTTACGCTGCATTAAAATGCAAACTCCCCGTAGGCCTAAAATCACTTCTCTTTGCTGTTTTATTCCTTTGAAAACAGGTGAAAGTGTCCAGTGACCGTCTGACCCAGTTCTGGTCCAGGGTGGTGTGGTGTCAGCCATATAATTACACCTCAGGGTTACTGCCTCCATCTGGCTGTCGGCGATCAGAGTTAGATTTATAAAACGCAGAGCAGAGACTTTTACTTTCAAGAAATTCCATCAGACTCCAACCTAGTTTTATTAAGTGGTGTTTGCTATGGCAGGCATCTCAATTATTGTTGTTTATTGGGTTAGGAAAGTATTCAGCATAAGTATTCAAATTGTCCTCAGTTTGTGCTACGGACAGGAATGATCCCTAAAATCATGTGGCTTGTGAAGGAAAGGGGATCAAATTGGTCAGATTTACAATTTTATGTTTAGGAGAGCAATAGTTTTATAAGTGTAGGGCCTAAAAATGGGGTATTCTTTGCTTTAAATATAGTTTCCTCCAGTGTTGTCTTTGTTTTGTGACTGCATTTCAAGATGGCATGTCTTTGTTCTGTTACTAGTGTTGTCTATTGCGTGCCTGTGGCAGCATGTGTCAGAACAGAGGACATGTCCTGATGTGATCCCGTGTAGGGGTCATGTCCTGACACAATAACTCTCCTATTTTTAGGACACGCTCAATATATTCTGCAGTGCACTGAACTGCTGTAGTGCCGCGTTGCTTTGTATAAACAATGACTCAATGTTCATTATACATTATACCACACTTAATTGTTTCCAAGTATTTTTATTCCATTTTTTTTTTTTTTTAGAATACTACACATAAAATATCCCTTCAACTTTACAAATATATACATATATACACTGATATATACAGTTGTGCACAAGTTTACATACCCCTTGCAGAATATGCAAAATCATTTGAGCAAAATAAGAGGGTTATTTTTTATTTAGTACTGTCTTGAATAAGCTATTTCACATAACAGATGTTTATATATACTCCACAAGACAAAATAATAACTGAATTTGTAAAAAATTACCCCGTTCAAAAGTTTACATACCCTTAAATCCTAATACTGTGTGTCATTTCCTGAATGATCCATGACTGTTTTTATGTTTTGTGATAGTTGTTCAGTGGCAGCATGTGTCAGAACAGAGGACATGTCCTGATGTGATCCCGTGTAGGGGTCATGTCCTGACACAATAACTCTCCTATTTTTAGGACACGCTCAATATATTCTGCAGTGCACTGAACTGCTGTAGTGCCGCGTTGCTTTGTATAAACAATGACTCAATGTTCATTATACATTATACCACACTTAATTGTTTCCAAGTATTTTTATTCCATTGTTTTTTTTTTTTTAGAATACTACACATAAAATATCCCTTCAACTTTACAAATATATACATATATACACTGATATATACAGTTGTGCACAAGTTTACATACCCCTTGCAGAATATGCAAAATCATTTGAGCAAAATAAGAGGGTTATTTTTTATTTAGTACTGTCTTGAATAAGCTATTTCACATAAGAGATGTTTATATATACTCCACAAGACAAAATAATAACTGAATTTGTAAAAAATTACCCCGTTCAAAAGTTTACATACCCTTAAATCCTAATACTGTGTGTCATTTCCTGAATGATCCATGACTGTTTTTATGTTTTGTGATAGTTGTTCATGAGTCCCTTGTTTGTCCTGAACAGTTCAACTGCCTGCTGTTCTTCAGAAAAATCCTCCAGCTCCTGCACATTCTTTGGTTTTCCAGCATCTTCTGCATATCTGAACCTTTTCCAACAGTGACTGTATGATTTGGAGATCCATCTTTTCAAACTGAGGACAATTGAGGGACTCATACATTACAATTGCAAAAGGTCAAAACATTTACTCATGCTCAAGAAGGCAACACGATGCATTAAGAGCCGGGGGATGTAAACTTTTTGAATTGGATGATCAGGGTAAATTGTCCTTATGTTGTCTTCTGGGAAACATGTATGTATTTATTTAGCTTCTGAAGTGCTGGAGCTGGAGGATTTTTCTGAAGAACAGCAGGCAGTTGAAATGCATAGGACCAACAATGGACTCGTGAACAAAAACATAAAAACAGTCATGGATCATCCAGGAAATTACACACAGTATTAATATTCAAGGGTATGTAAACTTTTGAATGGGATCATTTTTATAAAGTCAGTTATTATTTTGTATTGTGGAGTATATATAAACATCCGTCATGTGAAATAGCTTATTCAAGACAGTACTAAATAAAAAATAACATGCAATTATCATGATCCCTCTTATTTTGTGAAAATGATAAACATTTTGCATATTCTTCAAGGGGTATGTAAACTTATGAGCACAACTGTATACATTGTTTAATCCCATCAGTTTTAAATAGTAAAGTTTACATCTATTTCCTCAGGTCAGTAAGCTGGAAAGGGATAAGTCTCAGGAGGTCCGTCGTGAGCAGCACAAGTCCACGTTGGTGGTGACTGAGTTAAAAGCCAAACTACATGAGGAGAAACTTCGGGAGCTCCACATTGTTCGGGAAACACTC